ACGACCGGCTCGTTCGAAACGACGGAGACCACCGAGACGACGGAGGAGACGACCGTGACGTCCGAGGAGGTGTCTCGCGACAGCAGCAAGGTGGCCGGTCTGGCCGCGGGCGCCATCGGCGCCGCTGGTGTCATCGGTTCGGCTGTGAGCGCCACGCGCTCCAAGACGACGACTGGTGATGTCGACTCGACCGAGACGACGGAGACGGTAACGACCGAGGAGGTGAGCAAGGTGACCAGCGAGGACGTGAGCGGCGACGTGACCCGCAGCGTGACTGAGCGCGGCGGCTACGCCGTGGCGTCCGGCTGGACGAGCGGCACGGGCGCGACCCAGCAGGCTACGGAGACCACCGAGACGACGGAGGAGACGACCGTGACCGAGGAGGGCGTGACGACGGTGTCGAGCACGGACGTGACTGGCGCTGACACGACTGGCAGCGTGACCACCGTGACGACGGAGACGTCGGAGACCACGGAGACGACGGGTGCTCCCACCACGGTGACGACCGGCTCGTTCGAAACGACGGAGACCACCGAGACGACGGAGGAGACGACCGTGACGTCCGAGGAGGTGTCTCGCGACAGCAGCAAGGTGGCCGGTCTGGCCGCGGGCGCCATCGGCGCCGCTGGTGTCATCGGTTCGGCTGTGAGCGCCACGCGCTCCAAGACGACGACTGGTGATGTCGACTCGACCGAGACGACGGAGACGGTAACGACCGAGGAGGTGAGCAAGGTGACCAGCGAGGACGTGAGCGGCGACGTGACCCGCAGCGTGACTGAGCGCGGCGGCTACGCCGTGGCGTCCGGCTGGACGAGCGGCACGGGCGCGACCCACCAGGCTACGGAGACCACCGAGACGACGGAGGAGACGACCGTGACCGAGGAGGGCGTGACGACGGTGTCGAGCACGGACGTGACTGGCGCTGACACGACTGGCAGCGTGACCACCGTGACGACGGAGACGTCGGAGACCACGGAGACGACGGGTGCTCCCACCACGGTGACGACCGGCTCGTTCGAAACGACGGAGACCACCGAGACGACGGAGGAGACGACCGTGACGTCCGAGGAGGTGTCTCGCGACAGCAGCAAGGTGGCCGGTCTGGCCGCGGGCGCCATCGGCGCCGCTGGTGTCATCGGTTCGGCTGTGAGCGCCACGCGCTCCAAGACGACGACTGGTGATGTCGACTCGACCGAGACGACGGAGACGGTAACGACCGAGGAGGTGAGCAAGGTGACCAGCGAGGACGTGAGCGGCGACGTGACCCGCAGCGTGACTGAGCGCGGCGGCTACGCCGTGGCGTCCGGCTGGACGAGCGGCACGGGCGCGACCCACCAGGCTACGGAGACCACCGAGACGACGGAGGAGACGACCGTAACGTCCGAGGAGGTGTCTCGCGACAGCAGCAAGGTGGCCGGTCTGGCCGCGGGCGCCATCGGCGCCGCTGGTGTCATCGGTTCGGCTGTGAGCGCCACGCGCTCCAAGACGACGACTGGTGATGTCGACTCGACCGAGACGACGGAGACGGTAACGACCGAGGAGGTGAGCAAGGTGACCAGCGAGGACGTGAGCGGCGACGTGACCCGCAGCGTGACTGAGCGCGGCGGCTACGCCGTGGCGTCCGGCTGGACGAGCGGCACGGGCGCGACCCACCAGGCTACGGAGACCACCGAGACGACGGAGGAGACGACCGTAACGTCCGAGGAGGTGTCTCGCGACAGCAGCAAGGTGGCCGGTCTGGCCGCGGGCGCCATCGGCGCCGCTGGTGTCATCGGTTCGGCTGTGAGCGCCACGCGCTCCAAGACGACGACTGGTGATGTCGACTCAACCGAGACGACGGAGACGGTAACGACCGAGGAGGTGAGCAAGGTGACCAGCGAGGACGTGAGCGGCGACGTGACCCGCAGCGTGACTGAGCGCGGCGGCTACGCCGTGGCGTCCGGCTGGACGAGCGGCACGGGCGCGACCCACCAGGCTACGGAGACCACCGAGACGACGGAGGAGACGACCGTGACCGAGGAGGGCGTGACGACGGTGTCGAGCACGGACGTGACTGGCGCTGACACGACTGGCAGCGTGACCACCGTGACGACGGAGACGTCGGAGACCACGGAGACGACGGGTGCTCCCACCACGGTGACGACCGGCTCGTTCGAAACGACGGAGACCACCGAGACGACGGAGGAGACGACCGTGACGTCCGAGGAGGTGTCTCGCGACAGCAGCAAGGTGGCCGGTCTGGCCGCGGGCGCCATCGGCGCCGCTGGTGTCATCGGTTCGGCTGTGAGCGCCACGCGCTCCAAGACGACGACTGGTGATGTCGACTCGACCGAGACGACGGAGACGGTAACGACCGAGGAGGTGAGCAAGGTGACCAGCGAGGACGTGAGCGGCGACGTGACCCGCAGCGTGACTGAGCGCGGCGGCTACGCCGTGGCGTCCGGCTGGACGAGCGGCACGGGCGCGACCCACCAGGCTACGGAGACCACCGAGACGACGGAGGAGACGACCGTGACCGAGGAGGGCGTGACGACGGTGTCGAGCACGGACGTGACTGGCGCTGACACGACTGGCAGCGTGACCACCGTGACGACGGAGACGTCGGAGACCACGGAGACGACGGGTGCTCCCACCACGGTGACGACCGGCTCGTTCGAAACGACGGAGACCACCGAGACGACGGAGGAGACGACCGTGACGTCCGAGGAGGTGTCTCGCGACAGCAGCAAGGTGGCCGGTCTGGCCGCGGGCGCCATCGGCGCCGCTGGTGTCATCGGTTCGGCTGTGAGCGCCACGCGCTCCAAGACGACGACTGGTGATGTCGACTCGACCGAGACGACGGAGACGGTAACGACCGAGGAGGTGAGCAAGGTGACCAGCGAGGACGTGAGCGGCGACGTGACCCGCAGCGTGACTGAGCGCGGCGGCTACGCCGTGGCGTCCGGCTGGACGAGCGGCACGGGCGCGACCCACCAGGCTACGGAGACCACCGAGACGACGGAGGAGACGACCGTGACCGAGGAGGGCGTGACGACGGTGTCGAGCACGGACGTGACTGGCGCTGACACGACTGGCAGCGTGACCACCGTGACGACGGAGACGTCGGAGACCACGGAGACAACGGGTGCTCCCACCACGGTGACGACCGGCTCGTTCGAAACGACGGAGACCACCGAGACGACGGAGGAGACGACCGTGACGTCCGAGGAGGTGTCTCGCGACAGCAGCAAGGTGGCCGGTCTGGCCGCGGGCGCCATCGGCGCCGCTGGTGTCATCGGTTCGGCTGTGAGCGCCACGCGCTCCAAGACGACGACTGGTGATGTCGACTCGACCGAGACGACGGAGACGGTAACGACCGAGGAGGTGAGCAAGGTGACCAGCGAGGACGTGAGCGGCGACGTGACCCGCAGCGTGACTGAGCGCGGCGGCTACGCCGTGGCATCCGGCTGGACGAGCGGCACGGGCGCGACCCACCAGGCTACGGAGACCACCGAGACGACGGAGGAGACGACCGTGACGTCCGAGGAGGTGTCTCGCGACAGCAGCAAGGTGGCCGGTCTGGCCGCGGGCGCCATCGGCGCCGCTGGTGTCATCGGTTCGGCTGTGAGCGCCACGCGCTCCAAGACGACGACTGGTGATGTCGACTCGACCGAGACGACGGAGACGGTAACGACCGAGGAGGTGAGCAAGGTGACCAGCGAGGACGTGAGCGGCGACGTGACCCGCAGCGTGACTGAGCGCGGCGGCTACGCCGTGGCGTCCGGCTGGACGAGCGGCACGGGCGCGACCCACCAGGCTACGGAGACCACCGAGACGACGGAGGAGACGACCGTAACGTCCGAGGAGGTGTCTCGCGACAGCAGCAAGGTGGCCGGTCTGGCCGCGGGCGCCATCGGCGCCGCTGGTGTCATCGGTTCGGCTGTGAGCGCCACGCGCTCCAAGACGACGACTGGTGATGTCGACTCGACCGAGACGACGGAGACGGTAACGACCGAGGAGGTGAGCAAGGTGACCAGCGAGGACGTGAGCGGCGACGTGACCCGCAGCGTGACTGAGCGCGGCGGCTACGCCGTGGCGTCCGGCTGGACGAGCGGCACGGGCGCGACCCACCAGCCTACGGAGACCACCGAGACGACGGAGGAGACGACCGTAACGTCCGAGGAGGTGTCTCGCGACAGCAGCAAGGTGGCCGGTCTGGCCGCGGGCGCCATCGGCGCCGCTGGTGTCATCGGTTCGGCTGTGAGCGCCACGCGCTCCAAGACGACGACTGGTGATGTCGACTCGACCGAGACGACGGAGACGGTAACGACCGAGGAGGTGAGCAAGGTGACCAGCGAGGACGTGAGCGGCGACGTGACCCGCAGCGTGACTGAGCGCGGCGGCTACGCCGTGGCGTCCGGCTGGACGAGCGGCACGGGCGCGACCCAGCAGGCTACGGAGACCACCGAGACGACGGAGGAGACGACCGTGACCGAGGAGGGCGTGACGACGGTGTCGAGCACGGACGTGACTGGCGCTGACACGACTGGCAGCGTGACCACCGTGACGACGGAGACGTCGGAGACCACGGAGACGACGGGTGCTCCCACCACGGTGACGACCGGCTCGTTCGAAACGACGGAGACCACCGAGACGACGGAGGAGACGACCGTGACGTCCGAGGAGGTGTCTCGCGACAGCAGCAAGGTGGCCGGTCTGGCCGCGGGCGCCATCGGCGCCGCTGGTGTCATCGGTTCGGCTGTGAGCGCCACGCGCTCCAAGACGACGACTGGTGATGTCGACTCGACCGAGACGACGGAGACGGTAACGACCGAGGAGGTGAGCAAGGTGACCAGCGAGGACGTGAGCGGCGACGTGACCCGCAGCGTGACTGAGCGCGGCGGCTACGCCGTGGCGTCCGGCTGGACGAGCGGCACGGGCGCGACCCACCAGGCTACGGAGACCACCGAGACGACGGAGGAGACGACCGTGACCGAGGAGGGCGTGACGACGGTGTCGAGCACGGACGTGACTGGCGCTGACACGACTGGCAGCGTGACCACCGTGACGACGGAGACGTCGGAGACCACGGAGACGACGGGTGCTCCCACCACGGTGACGACCGGCTCGTTCGAAACGACGGAGACCACCGAGACGACGGAGGAGACGACCGTGACGTCCGAGGAGGTGTCTCGCGACAGCAGCAAGGTGGCCGGTCTGGCCGCGGGCGCCATCGGCGCCGCTGGTGTCATCGGTTCGGCTGTGAGCGCCACGCGCTCCAAGACGACGACTGGTGATGTCGACTCGACCGAGACGACGGAGACGGTAACGACCAAGGAGACGGGGATGGTGACTAAACAGGCTCATGGAGTGTCGGGGACGGTTGAATCCGAGAAGACTCTCATTGTTCTGGGCTTGAGTGGTACCAGCAAGGGTGGGTCGAAGATTCGGAGGGCGAAGGATGCATCGCTCGGGTGGTCATGGCTGTCGCAGTTTGTGAGTTTCTGCGCAAAACGGGGTAAGAGCGTGTCAACCATTGCGCCGGAAGAAGTGCGTGAGTTGGCTCGTGCCTTCTGCGCGAAGAATTTCTCGTCGTTCAGTGAAAACCTGTACGAGAGCGGCTCTTTGGATGAAAAGCGGGCAGCTTGGAATGTGTCGTATGCCTTGTCAGCTCAATTCCCGGAGCTCGCAGTCCTCGAGTTTGGGGTTGAATTCGGGCAGCACAAACGTGTCTTGGCTATTAGTGAGGTGTCCGACGACGACAAAAAGAAGACCGAGGCAGCATCGGCGGAAGTCGTGACCTCCCTGCTGAAGGAGTCACCGCAACTATCGAGAGGCTGCGAGAACGTGCTGATATCGGAAGGAGGCGAAACTGTATTCTACGGCACAGCAAGCTCTCTCAGGGCATTTTTCCAGGAGTTCGGGTTCAATCAACCCGATGACTTTGACGTGGCCCAGATCTTGCTGGGGCTGAGTTCCAACAACAACGCGCAGTATCATGTTACTGTTATCGACGGTGCCAACCAAGAAAAGAATAACCAGCACATCCAGCGCCTGTCATCTTTTGTGAGCTTCGCCGACGACAGCGTTCTCTTCACAGACAAAACGAACCTGACTCAGGAAATCAAGAAACCAATCTACGAAGACAACCAGCACGACAACGATACAAGTGCCGCAACCTCTATTCCTTTGGTCGTTGCAGCAACAACTTCTGTGGACGCTGCTGCTGCTGCTACCGCTGCTGTCGGTGCGGCCATTGGCGCTAGCGCGTCGGTGGAGGAGAAGGCGAGGATCTCGTCGAGCGCTGCAGTGAGCGCCACCGGCAGCAAGACGGCGAGCGTCTTGGATTCTGCTTCTACGGTGACTGCGTCGATGTCTGGCGTGAGCGAAGAGGAGAGCTCTGTTGCTCTGACGGAGACCGCCACGGCCACCGCGGCGATGAGCAGCCTGTACGCCCGCTACGCCCGCGAGGGCAGCAGCGTCGAGTCGATGACGTTCTCTGCCGATATCGATGCGGCTGCGCAGGAGATCCAGCGCGTGTGCACGGGCGCGGCTTCGGACGAGGCTGCCCTGGCATCGCTGCTGCTGTCGAAGACTGCAGAGCAGCGCTACCTGATCTGGTGGCGCTACCGCATCCTGTACAAGCAGAGCCTGACGGTGTGGGTGAAGAGCACGAGCGACTACGGCCTTCTGCTGAAGATGCTGGCGAGCCCTCTGGAGCACGTGGAGGCCGAGATCCTGCGCAAGGCGACGAAGGGCCTGGGCACGACCGAGGAGTGGATCTACCCGGTCGTGATGGCGCGCTCGAACGCCGAGATCGCGCTGCTGAAGAAGACGTTCCAGGAGAAGTACGGCGAGGACCTGGTGAAGGTGCTGAGCGGCGAGCTTAGCGGCGACTTGAAGAAGGTGATCCTGACCGCCATGCGCGGTGAGGTGGCCGAGTTCAACGCGTCGATCCACACGAGCGCGAAGGCTGCTGCGGACGCGGACGCCCTGTACAAGGCGGGGGAGGGCCGCATGGGCACGGATGAGACGACGTTCATCAACATCCTGGTGCTGAGCCCTGCTGAGCACGTGCGCAACATCAACAGTGCGTACGTGGCGAAGTACAAGACGGACCTGGCGGGCGCGATCACGGCGGAATTCTCTGGCGACGCCAAGCGCGCTCTGCTGTTCCTGGTGCGCTCGGTGCTGGAGCCGGTGGAGCTGCTTGCGGAGCTGTTCGATACGACGCTGAAGAGTGCGAGCAAGAACGCGTACGGTTTGAGTGCGTGGGTGGTGCGGTACTACCGCCTGCTGGTGCGCATTCGCATCGTGTACATGCGTCTGTACCGCCAGGAGCTGCGCACGCGCATCCAGAGCGTGGTGAGTGGCGAGTACTGCCAGCTGCTTCTGTCGGTGTTTGATGCGGCCGAGGTGGAGTTCGGTGCGTCGGCGTCGGCGTCTGGCTCGGTGGTTGCTGCTGGTGGTGGTACTGCGAGCACGTCGAGCGGGTCTGCTGTTCGTGGTGCCGCTGCTGCTGTGGGCGGTGCTGCTGCTGCTACCGCTGCTGTCGGTGCGGCCATTGGCGCTAGCGCGTCGGTGGAGGAGAAGGCGAGGATCTCGTCGAGCGCTGCAGTGAGCGCCACCGGCAGCAAGACGGCGAGCGTCTTGGATTCTGCTTCTACGGTGACTGCGTCGATGTCTGGCGTGAGCGAAGAGGAGAGCTCTGTTGCTCTGACGGAGACCGCCACGGCCACCGCGGCGATGAGCAGCCTGTACGCCCGCTACGCCCGCGAGGGCAGCAGCGTCGAGTCGATGACGTTCTCTGCCGATATCGATGCGGCTGCGCAGGAGATCCAGCGCGTGTGCACGGGCGCGGCTTCGGACGAGGCTGCCCTGGCATCGCTGCTGCTGTCGAAGACTGCAGAGCAGCGCTACCTGATCTGGTGGCGCTACCGCATCCTGTACAAGCAGAGCCTGACGGTGTGGGTGAAGAGCACGAGCGACTACGGCCTTCTGCTGAAGATGCTGGCGAGCCCTCTGGAGCACGTGGAGGCCGAGATCCTGCGCAAGGCGACGAAGGGCCTGGGCACGACCGAGGAGTGGATCTACCCGGTCGTGATGGCGCGCTCGAACGCCGAGATCGCGCTGCTGAAGAAGACGTTCCAGGAGAAGTACGGCGAGGACCTGGTGAAGGTGCTGAGCGGCGAGCTTAGCGGCGACTTGAAGAAGGTGATCCTGACCGCCATGCGCGGTGAGGTGGCCGAGTTCAACGCGTCGATCCACACGAGCGCGAAGGCTGCTGCGGACGCGGACGCCCTGTACAAGGCGGGGGAGGGCCGCATGGGCACGGATGAGACGACGTTCATCAACATCCTGGTGCTGAGCCCTGCTGAGCACGTGCGCAACATCAACAGTGCGTACGTGGCGAAGTACAAGACGGACCTGGCGGGCGCGATCACGGCGGAATTCTCTGGCGACGCCAAGCGCGCTCTGCTGTTCCTGGTGCGCTCGGTGCTGGAGCCGGTGGAGCTGCTTGCGGAGCTGTTCGATACGACGCTGAAGAGTGCGAGCAAGAACGCGTACGGTTTGAGTGCGTGGGTGGTGCGGTACTACCGCCTGCTGGTGCGCATTCGCATCGTGTACATGCGTCTGTACCGCCAGGAGCTGCGCACGCGCATCCAGAGCGTGGTGAGTGGCGAGTACTGCCAGCTGCTTCTGTCGGTGTTTGATGCGGCCGAGGTGGAGTTCGGTGCGTCGGCGTCGGCGTCTGGCTCGGTGGTTGCTGCTGGTGGTGGTACTGTGAGCACGTCGAGCGGGTCTGCTGTTCGTGGTGCCGCTGCTGCTGTGGGCGGTGCTGCTGCTGCTACCGCTGCTGTCGGTGCGGCCATTGGCGCTAGCGCGTCGGTGGAGGAGAAGGCGAGCAGTACCGTTGGCATAGTTAAGAAAACAGTGTCGTCCTCGGTGACGGCGATGTCTTCTACGATTGTCCGTACCGTCGGGTTTGGCAATCTGTACGCTCAGACCTGCCACGATGTGGCCGGTGGTGCGACCTTGGGTCTATACGCCGACATTGAAGCTGCTGTTGAGGAGATCAACTCCAAATGCACTGGTGGCGCGTCTGACGAAAAGACTCTTGCATCGCTGCTACTGTCGAAGACTGCAGAGCAGCGCTACCTGATCTGGTGGCGCTACCGCATCCTGTACAAGCAGAGCCTGACGGTGTGGGTGAAGAGCACGAGCGACTACGGCCTTCTGCTGAAGATGCTGGCGAGCCCTCTGGAGCACGTGGAGGCCGAGATCCTGCGCAAGGCGACGAAGGGCCTGGGCACGACCGAGGAGTGGATCTACCCGGTCGTGATGGCGCGCTCGAACGCCGAGATCGCGCTGCTGAAGAAGACGTTCCAGGAGAAGTACGGCGAGGACCTGGTGAAGGTGCTGAGCGGCGAGCTAAGTGGTGACCTCAAGAAGGTCATCTTGGCTGCTATGCAGGGAGACGTGCCGAGTTTTGACCCTGCCGTGCACACGAGCGCCAAGGCTGCGGCGGACGCTGATGCTCTGTACAAGGCTGGCGAAGGGAAGTGGGGCACCGACGAAGAGACCTTCATCCGGATCGTGGTGTCGAGTCCTGGCCAGCACCTGAAGGACGTCGACGCCGCGTACTCGAAGAAGTACAAGAAGACGAGCATCGTCAAGGCCATCAAGGGCGAGTTCAAGGGCGACGCCCAGGCGGCGCTGCTCTTCCACGTGCGCATGGTGTTCGAGCCGTTCGAGCTTTTGGCCAGTCTCTTCGAGAGCACGATGAAGGGCCTGGGCACGGACGAGTACGGCCTCAGCGCGGCGGTGGTGCGCTACCACGTGCTGCTACCCGAGGTCAAGACGGCGTACAAGAAGCTGTACGGCAAGGAGCTCAGCCAGCGCATCCGAGGCGACACGAGCGGCGAGTACCGCGACCTGCTGCTGCCCATCGTGGACGGCCAGTAATCCGTGATCGCTCGGAGACGGCCGTGCAGTGACTTTTAGCGTTGTAGTCTGCATTCCTTCTCATTCATAATACGTTGCATTGCATTGAATCCTCTTGGGGCAAGTCAAGTTGAAGTCAGCCATACTTGTATTAGGGTAGTACTAGATCTGTAATTACGGCATTTTCGCCTCTCGTCGCACCACATCAAAAGACCCAACTCCCAAGGAGGGATGGAGCCGACGGGGACGGACGCCGCGGCGCCGCCGAGCCTGGCGGAGCTGGGCGAGAGCTCGCTGCTGGACCAGCTGCACGACCTGCACCGGCGGCTGGCGGCCGTGCGCCAGGACTCGCAGCGCTACAACTCGCTGGCGCGCAACCTGGGGCCGATCCCCATGGCCAACGACAGCAACAAGATCATCGTGTGCTCGCTGCGCCGCTGCGTGCGCATGCTCAAGACGGACCAGGGCGACGGCTGGCAGTACACGGCGTCGGCCACGGGGCTCAAGAGCGCCATCGACTACCTGGGGCGCGGCAACTCGGTGCACTGGGTCTCGTGGCCGGGCGCGGTCGTGGACGAGTCGAGCCAGGACGGCGTGCGGCGCCGGCTCGAGGCGGACTTCGCGTGCCACCCGGTCTTCCTGGGCGCGGAGACGCTGGACCTGTACCACAACCAGTTCTGCAACGTGGTGCTCTGGCCGCTCTTCCACTCGCTGCCGCAGCGCTCGGACAGCCGCCTGCTCGAGAACTTCGGCGACAAGTACGACGCCTATTGCTCGGCCAACCAGAAGTTCCTCGAGGCCGTGTCGGAGATCTACAAGGACGGGGACCTCGTGCTCGTGTGCGACTACCAGCTCATGGCGCTGCCGGGGCTGCTGCGCCGCCGCTTCCCGGAGATCACGTGCGGCTTCTACTTCCACTGCCCCTTCCCGTCCTCCGAGTTCTTCCAGATGCTGCCCGTGCGCGAGGCGCTGCTGCACGGCGTGCTGGGCGCCGACCTCGTCGTGTTCAACCACTTCGACTACGTGCGCCACTTCCTCAACGTCTGCACGCGCATGCTCGGGCTCGAGAGCTCCCCGAGCCGCGTCGAGTATAACGGGCGGCTCATCTCGCTCGGCATCTGCCCCATGGGCATCGACCCAGTCAAGTACGCGGTCACGCCCAAGGTCGAGGCCCACGTCGAGATGCTCAAGCGGCAGCAGGACGGCATGAAGATCATCGTGGGCGTGCACAAGCTCGACTTCTGCAAGGGCATCCCGGAGATGCTCGAGGCCATGGAGTACTTGCTGCAGCACTACCCAGAGTACCGCGGCAAAGTGGTCCTATACGCGGTCGTGCGTGATGCTGGACGCACGGCGTCTGTGCAGTACAGAATGCTCAGTCGACAGATCAACGAGCTCGTGGGCCGCGTAAATGGGCGGTTCGGCACCGCAGAGTACTGCCCCGTGCGCTATCTGAAGCAGTCCATCGACCACGACCAGCTCGTGGCGCTCTACAACTGCGCCGATGTCGCCATCGTCAGCAGCATCAAGGAAGGAATAAATCTACAGGCCATGGAGTTCATTGCCGCCCAGAAGAAGAGCTGTCACGGTGTGCTCGTCTACAGTGAGTTCGCAGGGTGAGTTGGTGGCTGTGGCAGGTGGTTTTGTTTGTTGCTGCAGGTCTGACTAACGATGATGTCATATTCGATATGGTACGGCTGTGGGTGCCGTCAGGTGTGCATCGTCGTTCCAAGGCGCGTTGCTGGTCAACCCGATGCACATTGAGCAAGTTGCTGCAAGCGTGGACACAGCGCTTCGCATGAGTCCGACCACTAAGCGGATCCGCCACCACCAACTGTCGCGATATGTACACACGTACACGTCGACGCTGTGGGCGCAACGAATCATGTCAGCCTTGAACGAGGTGAGCTGGCTGACTCGTTATCTTGTGTGTGGTGAGATAGAACGTCTCTGTCTAACTATTCTCGCTACGAATGCAGGCTGCTGCTACGGCGCAAGAGTACAATCGTTTGGACAAGCTGGATACGGCGCAACTGCTTGGATATTACGAGCGCAGCCAGCGACGTCTGTTCCTGCTGGATTATGACGGCACACTCGTCAACTATCAGAGCATGGAAGAACTCGCAGAACCGTCCGCTGCACTTTTGTCTTGCCTCGAAGATCTCACTGCGGATCCTCGCAACACCGTCTATATTATCAGCGGAAGGAACAAGACCCGTTTACAGGTTAGTGGATGTGATGTGTTTAGCCAGTGTCTACAAATTACTCACAGCTGCGTTTGGTAGGAATGGTTTGGTCATTTACCACGCGTCGGACTGGCAGCCGAGCACGGTTACTGGTTCCGTCCGGCGTCCAAGCACCCATCTACGCTTGACGTGGATGGAAGCGGCGCTAGCGGAGACAATCTGCCGAGATTAAGTATCGAAGACGTGTCGCTTGCGTCCGAATCGCTGGCGATGGCGACAGCCTCGGAAGACGATCCGCTTGCGAGCTCGTCTTCATCCGTCATGGGGGCCAGCGAGAGTGCAATGTTCGAGAGAGCTCCGTGGCAATGCATGTTCAGCGACGTGGAGCTGGAATGGCGCGATGAAGTGGAGAGCATCTTGGAGCACTTCACGGAGCGAACTCCAGGCTCGCTGTTGGATGTGAAAGACTGCTGCTACACGTGGCACTTTCGAGATGCCGACCCCACCTTCGGTCTGAAGCAGGCGAAGGATATGCAGCTGCATTTTGACCAGATGCTGCGTGATCTGCCGGTTGGTGTGGTGATGTGTCGAATTAAGAAGTACGTGATGATCCGACCGTGGCGTGTCAACAAGGGCCGCGCCGTGAGTCGCATTCTCGAGTACGAAAGCGAGACGCCCTACTTCACGGCTCTGGACTTCGACTTCA